GAGTTTCGTAAAACTTATTCACCAAATCAAGCACATACCGGTGACATACATTACAATTTGGATGTCTTTTGCCCTTCGTGCGCACTTTCCAACTTCTTCATAAATTACAATCATTTCAAGTACATCTTGAAGAATGTAAACCATTTTTACACTTATTAAGGTAATCACTGAACAGCCCTACAGGTACAACTGTATGAACAATACTATCACATCGTTCAAATTAGAGAACCAATTTTTTGCTGGAAAACAGAAACTTTTTATAGCAGAAGTAGCAAAAAAGGGCGGCTATCTGTACACTTTCTGCGATGAGAATTAAAAATTCAGCATTTACTGAACAAAACTTTACTATTATCTACGTTCTACCATTAGACTACTTTTTGATATAAATTAATTGGAGCTAATGGATAATGTTACCCCTAATAAAGGGTTGGATCGATACCACCTAATATTCTTACCAGTTCTGGTCAAACCATGCATCTCAATATAGGCGTAGGTAGTAATAATTACTTCTGTTAGTTTAGAACGCAAATTTTCGGAAAATGCTCATCAAAAAATAAAATGTCAGGGTACCATTGGAAGCAGAATTGAACGCCAATCAAAATCATGTGCCACTTAACCCCCTTCACATTTGAAATTCTAAGGGTAACATCTACCCTTCCTAGGGTATTGAACCACGAGGGCTCGAAATATCCTTGAAAGTGTCCCCCTTGACAATAAAATTGACCTGTTTTTTCAAATCCTCATATTGTTTACTGGAAGGAAGATATTGAGGGTGTGAAGTTTTCATATTGAAACCCTGTATATAATATCTGTTCGTTTGTGAACGAAATTTTATGAACAGATTTGAGTAGATACAACATTAATAATGGTAGATTTTTTAGTGATTTTTTAATGTACAGCTAATTTGTTGATGAACCTCTCATCAGTGTAGGAAAGATTCGACTCAAACTGATGAGACGTAATATCTCGAAATCGATCTGTAGGGGATCTACTCGAATAATGTCAGCATGGTCCAGCTGCTGAATGAACGAGAAACATCTGCGAAAGTAACCTTTGTGAGGTATATATCTTGCATAAATGTGTGTCGGAAATAATTCAATACCCAGCGTGATATTAGCCGGGTGAGTAGTGAGATTTTATTTCGAAATATTCATTTACTAGTACCTATGCATGTCTCTCCTTGATACAGTCTTTAGAGATGATATGATAATTATTTAAAATAAATTGTGAAACAAGTCACATGCGAAATTTCAGGATACACAGACAATTACATAATTTTTATAATGATACGTCATCAAACAAGGTCTCTAAGTACTGTTATCGTGTTTGGGCCAAGGTCGAAATTTATAAAAAAAAACACCCGAAACCTTCAGTTGAAATTTGATTTCTTCTCAAAAATGATCAAAACGAAAATTCTCCTAACTAAAATCGACCAATAGTTATATATATGTACATGTATTTTGTCTTGGAGAAAGAATATCGAAAATGCCAATCGTGTTAAATGAACAATTCATGTACGCTGATAATGTTCTTGTTGAAACAGTAACCAAAGAAATTTTGTTTACGATTGAAGTGATAGCGCATCGTCGAATTAAAAATAATCACACAAAACGAGATACACAAAAGAGCAGACTCATCAATAGACATTTCACGAACGTAAATATTTATGCTGAGCAAAATTATTACCTCGTAGTTGAATAAATAAAATTTGAAAAAGTTCACCTCTTAACTGTATATAAAATGATGAAGCCAGCCCCTAAGCATTGAATACGCAAGACGCTATTAGACATAGTTGTTTCGAAATGCCACAGATTTCAGTAGTACTTGATTGATAAAAGAGAATACCAGAGAATCATGAATGAACTGGTTGCAGTTTTATATCTTCATGAACCAGTGTGTTTTGGTAACTTAGGAGGCTTCCAAGTCTTCTGAAAACACGGGCAACTTTAGGGATTATTTCTTTCATGACATCCATTCCTATATAATATAATATCTTTATTCTGCATCAAGAAATTCTTTGATAACATAAAAACATTCATCTTGAAAATATCCTTTCAATTTTGATTTGAAGTTTTCTTTCCGTAGCTCTCTTAGGTTTGCAGGAAGATGATTGAAAAACTTTATACCTCTATATCAGAGGGATGAGGGGTTTTTTCATAAAATAATGAGCTATGTGCAGGAATTCTAATGAGGTCTCCATTTCTAGTGGGGTAATCATGGCGCTGAGGAACTGAACCATGTTAATATGTTGCATAAATAACATTACACATTTAAAAATATGAATACATGGGATTGTTAAAATTTTATATTTTTGAAAATATGTTAGACACGATTCATCTGGTTTAAGGCTAAAAATGAGTGGAATAATTTTTTATTGTTTAAATATTCTGCTTGAGTTACTGGAGCAACCTTGTAGAGAAAATCTCCCAATCCTTCGACAACAAGGAAATTGCGGTTGCTGTATTTCTCGATATTGAAGGAGCATTTGACAATGCACTACCTAAATCTATAGGATCATCTCTGGCTAGGAAAGGTATAGAATCGATCATAACTGGCTGGATTTATGCCATGCTGGTAAACAGAACTGCAACTACGACTATTCAAGGCGAGGCCATTAGGTTCAGGGTGAACAGTGGCTGCCTTCAAGGTGGGATGCTATCTCCCTTCTGTGGTCGCTCCTGATGGATAGTCTGCTTGATGCCCTCGGCAGAAGAAAAGTAGATCTGCAAGCTTATGCAGATGAACTTGTCATGTTGGCAAGGTCCACGTCGGGAAGGGTAGCTTGTAATATCCTACAAAGCACGTTGGACGTTGTTCACAGTTGGTGCCTGAGGGGGTTATGAGGGGGGTTATGCCAGCATAACTGTGATAATCCCCTTTACCAGGAGGAAAAAATTGGACGATCTAACGCCACTTTTTCTCAATGGTAAGGTCATTCCATTTAAAACGGAGGAGAAATATCTTGGCATTGCCCTTGATAAAAAACTCACATTAGATTTATGTGATGATTGTCAGACCATCGATCACTTATGATGCGATGGCCTGGTGGCCGAAGGCTTTACAGAAAAGGCCTAGGCGAAGATCTCTGGCTCACAGAGACAGGCCTGTCTGGCCATCAGTGATGCCAACTGTACCACACCGTCAGCAGCCATGGAGATCCTTCTAGATCTACCTACTCGCCACATTTTTCTGGAGAGAGAGGCTACATGGACTGCATATAGACTTGTGCACAATGCCAATTGCACAAATCAATTCAATGCAGAGTGCAACAGACTGTGGAAGTCACAGCATTCTGGTAATGACCTCTGATTTCATGCCTCCAATTGTCAACTACGAACTGCCTTATAAAGTACTGTTTCCGAGTAGAGTGGACTGGATCCTCCTGGAAAAGGAAATATCAAGAGCAGATAGTTGTTGGTTCACAGATGGATCAAAAACATCTTCCGGTTCTGGTGCAGGTGTTTTCAGTCGCTGACCCAGGACAGAGATATAGACCTGCCTAGGAACCTACGCGACTGTATTTCAAGCATAAATTTACCGTATTATTGTGTGCGAAGGGATTGGAAAAATCCAACATATGTCAATAAAAATTTTCTCGGACAGTCAAACGGCGTTGGAAGCTCTTGGCTTCCTACCGAGCAACGTCTAAATTGGTAGCAAAAAACGACTCTTCTTGATAGGGAGACCTTACAGATTGTCTCTGGTCTGGATTCCTGGCCATACTGGCCTGGAAGGCAACGAAGCTGCTGACTCCCTTGCAAAGAAGGGTGCTGCAAGCAGCTTCATCGGACCAGAACCTGTCATTGGCATCCCTTTAGGCTTTGCTAAGCAAAGATTGAACACCTTGATGGCAGGAAGATGTATGGTCTTCTGGCAAAATATTCCAGGATTGGCTCACTCCAAGGCGTTTATTCACCCTTCGGAGCTTGATACCAAACAGTTGTTGGACTGGACATACTTTGTGCCTTCCCCGTTTTTAGAGTTGGCAGAGCCGTACAGATCTCCACCTAGAATGAAAATGCATACAAACTGTTTTTTCTGCATTTATTATCAAGAAATTTCTTTCACACCAATTTATGAATTTCTCCGCTAAATTATTAAGTTTTTTTTGTAAGTCTTCAGGACTATCTGAGTCAGTTGCCAATGTAGTAACACCTGCATGGAAAACTACAGAATATGAACTGATATGGTCAAGTAGATCTTTTATAAATAACAAAAAAGCGGACTCAGAATAGATCCCTGAGGAACTCCCAGGTTTCTGTAATCTTTCAATCAGATCCCTTGTTGGATGTTTGTGATATTATTCTGAACATAATGCCAAGCTAGTGCGCACCGTGCTTATTCTGTTGATACGAGTAACTGTATATGTTTTCATAGGTTGAAGCACCATGTTGTAGTGCTGGTTGCAACCCCTTTTTTTACATAAATGGGTTTGGCCATAAATGTGTTTGCTCCATCTTTCTTTTTATTCTTTCTATGTAGCCTGGGATCTAGTATCACTACCACATATTTGAACTCCTTCGACAAATCTATCCCTTCACCTCGAAGAATTAGAGGTCCTAAGTCCTTTACCTCGGTCATCTCGATGAGGTATATTGAGCTGTCAAACACAATTTCATCCCTAACAGAAGGTATAGTAGCAACAACAGAAAAAGACATATTCACTTATAATACACCTTCACAAACAATAGCTACTATTCCCGTGCTGCATGAAACACAATGAATTATTTTGAATTAAATATTTGAATATTTTGTTCATTAACATCTAATCTACCTTAATTATTCTACAAAAATCTATTTGATTTGGAACTTCTGGCGTAAAATGCTAATTGAGAATTAATAAGGGCATTTCACACCGTGTATTTTCTAGACAGCTTTCATAACATGCAATAGTTCTGTAATCATTTATATTTAAATAAATTATATATAGTCAGAATAACTGGAAAAACTGAACAGTGTTATCTTGACAGCCCATCTAAAAAATGATTCAACTAACTCACCATATGACCCATTCGTCCCAAATATTTCATTTTTTCTTGAACAGCAGCCACTTGCTTCATATACCATTCCTTGGCTTTTTCCACAGCACTCAAACCTTGTAGCAGAACATCCTTTTCCTGTTCAATTTGCTTCATTCTCTTCAACATGTTATAGTCGATCCCGTTTTGCAAGGTGTGTCTCCTGGGTTCTCGTCTCCTCGAATTCGGTTTCTTTTGATAGTTGGTCCCTTGCAAGTCAGTTTGAGCGGAGGCTTTACCGTCCCCCATGCTCCTACCAGTTCTCAGCAGACCTCCTGAGAATTGCTGTGTTTGCCTTTTGTCCGTTCCTTTACTTTCTTGGTCGTTCATCATCAGACCCATCTGCCAATTCTGTAGAGCGGTCCGGATTTCAGCCCTGTCCATATTCCCCGTAGAAGCCCCCCGTTCTAAGCCAATGGCAGTTCTGGGCGGCTTTGGAGGTCCGTAAAGCGTGGGTTTGTTTACGTTGGGAACAGGTTTTTCAAAGGCGTGAATGTCAACGGTTTCTAAATTCGTATCCTTACGGTCGGGTAAAAGTTGCGGCATGCTCAGCGTCCTTTGTTGGGATATCACATTGGGGCGGATGGCAGCTGTATTACCCCAATTCGGCTTTGGGGGAGAGTCGATGTCGAGAAGAGGTGCGGAAGGAGGTCGGTTCTTCACGCCCATTTCTTGATGCGGTTTCAAGTTGTCTTTCCTCTCCACCTGGTTTCGCAGCAAACAAATCTTCAGCCCAGCACAAAACCTCTCGAAAGATAACAACCCGTTGGCGGGGGTGACTTTCCTGAGGCTCTCTATGACGCCCTTGGGCAGTCCTTTGGTGTCGTCGTCTTGCCATCTGTTTTCTATTTCGGAAAAATTGACGAAACCGCTTCTCTTATCGTCCATAATGTCGAAGAGGGTGCGCATCGCAGTGACGAATTGCTTGGGTAGTCCGTCAAGGGTGGAGGAGGGTGATGTCATTCTTTGTACACTGTGTAGCACTGAACACACTTCATTCACTGACCCGACGGCGATTCTTCGGCCATGGAGCTTGCGACTGAGTGTGCAGCATTAGAGACGTGGCCAGCGAACCAGGTAAAAGGTGAGTTATACTCGAGGTATGGGTATTATTCAAGACAGGGGCGTAGCAAGAGTCTTTGTTTCTTAGAAATAGTTAATAAATTGATATTTAATAGTCATTTAACGCGGATGGCACGCATGATCGCGCATAGAACGGTCCAACCGTAGTTTCTAATCTCTTTTGTGTTGTGGTTGGGCTTCGTTATGATTCGGTACAGATATTTTGGAAAACCCAGATAAATTTTAAAAGGCTGTTGGGAGGGTAACACGCTCTGATGACTCCGTTACTGATTCAGAATTTGCATTGGAAAATTAAATAAACTCCAATAATCTAAATATTTTCAGGATTGATTCACTGTGTTTTTACCGTTCATATGCATGACGAACTGATCTGTTTGCGATGGAATGTATAATATCTTTCTATATTATAAATTTGGGTACCAGGAAATAAATTTGATTGTGAAATGAGTGAATTAATTGAGATCATTCAGCATAACTGTTTATTAATTTATCAATTGCTTTTTTGTTCCCTTCGACATTTTTAATAACTAGTACATCCAGGAGTGAGAGTTCTTCGTTATTTTCAATTTCATACGAGAATTTTATACTAGCGAATCTGTTGTTGAGGCAAAATACAAACTCACATTCCTATTCGTATCGAAAATGGCAAATACATCATCCACGTATCAGATACAGATTCGTAGAAAGTAATCCAACTCTTCCCTTGCTATGAATGAATAGCGACAAAAGTCCTATTTCTAAATAAAAAACAGATAAATATTAGAGAAAAAAAGTTCAGGGGATAGTCACTAACATAGAGGAAATACATAACAAATGAGAGGTATTGAAAAACAGGTAGTTCAGCATAGGTAGTAGTTAGGTAATACTAACCGGTGTAGTTAGGTAGTACAAACAGGTAGTAGTTAGGCCACTAGCATATAAAAACACTAACATAGTAGTAAAATTTAGTCATACCGGTCATACTGTCAGGAGATAATTATGACTAATCATAATGTCATAATGATCTCATGAGGACGCTAACTTGGTTAGCAAAACGCGCTTCGAGAGCTCGTAATTTTTGTTCTGGTGTTGGGAAAGTGTTTTCAATAGATTAATTTTACGCCAGAGGTTCCAATACGAACTGTCAGTAGGTCATTTAGCGGTCAGTAGAGAATACTTTCCACACTTACTGCGAATTTTTTGTTCGTATTTGGTAGTATATCCAGCAGCTCTATTAATTTAATTCAATAATTTTCATTACGTCCATTTCTTATGACTTCCCTAATTAATTTTCAAAACACATTTTGTATTGTCTTACCTACCTACCTGTACCTTCGAGCTTGACGTAAATTAGTAATATGCTGTCCAACATTCGGAAAGAAGGAAAACAAAAATACGGTATTTCAACATTTACTTTTTATTCCCCAGTAGCCATTGATGAACTGTTTGAGTGCCCACAAAAAATATACATTTTTATAATTCCATCATTTCAATATAGTACAATTTTCCTGTCCTAATTAGTGTCCATACTAACTAGTCTCCAGAAGAAAAAGAAATGAACAAACATATCTCTGGGGGATTTCGTATGCGTTTCAATCTTTTTCAATTCATTCGGAAATAATTGGCCCAAAGATTTCCGAATCTTTAAAACATACATTAGTGATAATTGGTAGTCTTGGAGTCTTCCTCATAATGGAGGGACAACAGTTGATTCATGTGACGTTTTTATATAGAGTGGTATTTGAAATTTAAACAAAAAAAACCCTTTGCCCAATAGACTTTACTATAATTCTCGTAATCCAATTTGGTTTAGATCTTCTAATACATTTTTTATTTCATTTGTACTAGTGTTTTCTTCACATCACCTATCATTCCAAAAGAGCTTAATGCCAATTTCAATTTGTTTGAGCATGGTATTAGATAGCTACTGTGAGCTAAATTTTTCAAGTTTTGTAAAAGAGCTAAGTGCCATCTGTAGTATAACTCTATAAACCCAAGTACATATGTCAAAAATATTAAACTGTAAGTATAAAAGTCGAATTGAATATATACACTAAACATTACAGACACATTATGTTACTGGTATGAACACCGAAGTTTTTCGTCCTGTAGGTGTAAACTCTAAAAACTAATTTAGCCTTAGCTATATTTCATTAGTAGGTATATAATTACTTTTAGATATTGTTCATTTATTGGAATTATGATCAGTTTACACAGATTCTTTGATGTACCATTCTCTGGTACCAATTGGTACAATTTTCCACTCATTATGGCTGGGCAACCTTTATTCTGAGTACTCAGAATAAAGTAACTTTTTTTTATTTTCAATTGTTCAATTTTTATTTTTTGTTGATTTTTATTNAATTTTAGGTTTTGATAACAGAAAAAGATTGTTTTCCGAAACGTCGAGCACTGCACGAAGGTAAGTATTGAAATTTCAATTTTTTTCAATTCATAAGCAAAATTTATGATTACGACAAGTTACGACAAGTGACTAATTGGACTCTTCAGTGGTTTATATTCCACAGTAACTTTTCGGGGTAAACTTTTCAGTTTGCCCTTTACTATATACAGTTCAGCAGATTCCCTATTGATTTTGCTCTGTTCATTTTTCAGATTGTGGAGAGTTATATACCAAAAAACAGCAAGAAACTTATATATCATGTATCAAAGAGCTTTAAATTATATCTGTTATTCCGTTAACCAGTTGTTCATAACCATATGAACGACAACCCTCGATACTCAAAATTTGTGTGAGCTAAACATCAACGAGGTCTTTTAACGTGCGATTCCTAGCACGGGTTGGACGATAGGCTGTGACAATCAATCGTCCTGCCTCGCGGCTCTAACTACCGTTTCACCTGACGGTCGACTGAATGAGTGGAACAAACAACTTACTCCAACCGAACTGGTTACCGTTCCACTGACTTAACCATGTAACTTACAGATGACATTAGTAAAAACAACATTGAATATTCGATGATTTCGGTTGGCACTCAACTCCAGTAGAAATGGAAGTTAGGTGGAGTTACTACGAGAGCCATCATTGAGCGTCAATAGCAACTAAGAGAACAGCAATAGCACCGCTGCTTTATAAGAACAAAAATAAATATAGTTTAAAAAACTAAAAAATACGGTTTTAAAAAACATCAAACTAAAAATTTTTTTTAATAAGCTTAAAACAATAACGAACGAAAAATACTAGTATTATTGTGAAAAAAGCGACGGGCGCTTGATATACAAAAAATATGGCACAAAGCGCGTGTTTTTTAGTGTTTTAAACTAGATTTTATTTTTCATTTTTTAGTTTCGTATGCTATAAAAGCGTGTTTTTTCTTTTCAAACTATATTCATATTATCTAAACTTTGGAATCAATCAGCCGTATATTGGTTAGAAAAATGACAAAGCAATAATGTCGATATATCAAGCAGATTACGTACAGCGCTATCTGCCCGCGAATACAGGTGTAGCTAATATAAAGCGTGTACAAAGGCTTCTATCCTTTATGAATATTTATGTGGTGTTTTTTTGAATAGACTTTCAGTTCGTTTTACAAAGAGAACAGATTTGGTTCTAGAAGAAAACACTTGCTCACACCACAACAAAAATACTGTCACTCGGCTTACTCGCTAACCAGGTTAGCATCACTAGGAGGTGATACTACTTATCAAATTCATTGTTTCTTATGAAGAAAAATTATTAAAAAATAGTTTTCTGATTTTCACGTATAATAACGTTACTTGCATATAATACTTCCTTTTGCTTTTGAGAAGATAACTTGGGAATACTTTTCCTCATCATTCCTTGAAGTATGTTTGACGTGTCTGATTCCAAAGATGAAGGCTTTTTCGGAGTTCTTCCTTCCCCAATTATTTCAAGTAATTGTTAACAAATTCTACAGAAAAAGTGTTGAAGGAAAAAACTAGTATGGCTGACAAAAGTGTTATTGTGAAATTTGTTATTTTTAGGTCTCACTAAACATGCTAGAAGTTGTACACTTGGTCCAATGAAATATTTTCTGAATTTATTTACTACGATATTATTCTACTCTTTTTATTCAATAATAGTTTTCAGTATTCAAGAAATATTTGGGCAGCCAATTAGGTCTATAATTTTTACTATTTTTCTGTTTATTAACAGTTAAAGTCCATGGAATTTCTCAACAAACTTGTTCGTTAAAACCAGTTTTATTTACATTTATTACAGATTACTTCATAAGGCGACTTTGAACGACTTTGAAGAATAATTAACAATGAGACGATATAACACCAATGACCTAACAATTTCACTATTAGATAACATGAACAGTTTCCTTCTCATAATTTATATTCCAAATTATAATTGAAATTTCAATGAGTCGTTAACTGCATTCCGAATTCATAAAAAAATGGTAACGTAATGAGCGACGAAAATGTTTTGAATAATAATTTACTTTCAGGAAATGAATTAGAGTACATCTTAGGTACACAGAGTAAAATTTTCAACGATTAATTAATTTCTATAAATGGGTTGGAAAACAGAACTCATGAAAGTCCTAAGTTTATTATCATGACCAAGTTTTAGATGCGGCAAAAATTTTGAGTGACAAAAAGTAAGTTATATTAATTGAGTATTCATTTTATTTGCGGATACAAAAAATATGTTCAAATGTGTGGTATTTCCTAGAATAAATGTTCAAAATGGCCTTCATTTTCCTGAATACACATTCGGCAAGGTTTTATAAAAGTTAAACCGAATTAGATCATTGGCTTTTAACGAAATCGATTTGCACTTTCAATGATTCGATGCCTCAGTTGTTGTTAGTCGATTATTTCAACAGAATACACATCCTCTTTCAGAAAAACCCAGAAGCAAAAGTCAATAGGGTTAAGATCTGGACTTCTGGCTGGCCAATAAGAAGGTGCATCAGGGTCCCTTCCAATTCAACGTCCGGGGTACAGACCGAAAAGCAGTTGAGTAATCGATGGTCGAATTCAAACCTTACTGAATGAGAAAATGAATTTATTACATGTATTCTCATCGTACTAAGTAAGTAATTCAGCATTGCACGGTTTTGTCTTTCCACTTGTCCAATAGTATGTGAGGTGATAGTCGTATTATACATCACCTTAGTTCCTGAAATGATTGTCTGACTTGTTAATATGAATTTATATTCAACACCTCGTTGAAATATCCACAGCAAGAATCTTGTAGTTGAGCTAATAGAACCCAATCGGTTCTTGAATTGATTTGCAATACATCTCATTCAACAACCTTACAAATTGTCTCTGCAGTACCTCTACTCAAGGTATCTACATGATCAGTCTGCTCTCAGGACGGTATTCGATGTCGAAATCAAACCCTCTACGTAATAGCACCATCTTCCATTTTTCGGAAAGATATATCTCTCAGTGAGGGTAATCCTAAGTGCATTATAATAAGTGTATTGGATTCAAGACCTTGCAAATGACCTCCTAATTGCTTCAGACTTTCGACAACTGCCAATCTTCATAACTCAAATCAATGATAAAGCTATTCCTGCTATTCTTCCTGCACTAGGAATTTGAATTTAAAACCTAGCGAATGAACTCTAAATTGCTTCAGACTCTTGACAACTGCCAATATTCCTATTTCATATAAATGATAGCGCTTTTCCTGCTATTCTTCCCTTGTCGTCTATGGGCTGAAGAACATGACAGGTCCGAATGAATTATCTCCCTACTTTGCAGCAGAATTCCGCTAACACCAACCTTGGATGTATCGTTATGAAGCCCGTTTCTGCGGCACTGTCGTGAAATACCAAATCGAGTCTCATTATCTAGAGATCCTGCAGAGTTTCGAATACTGTGTTATGCTCTTCTTTCCACTACCACTCCAGTTCTTTCTTAGTGAGGGATGTTAATGGTCGAGTAATCACTACAGATACTCCAAATTGGAATTTTCTTACTGAATTTACGTTCTAACTGCAGTATTTCCCTTGAACCAGACTCAAGTCCATTCTATAGCATCTTCCTTAGCGGCAGCTTCGACTGCGGCCAAGTCCTGTCCAAAATTGTCTTGGGACACGAGACTCTGGTTTTCTCTCAACCAAATTTCTGGCATGCTAGCCTTCCTGTTGAAACAAGTGGTTAAATGTTTGAGTTTATTTTATCGAATCAGATCCTCTATGAGTGCTAGTTTTCTTTCATGCTCGGCTTTCTCCAACCGCTCCCATGCCTTATTGATATCCGATATTATCTTACCTCTTTCGGCGTGTTCGGGCGTTGGTTGTTTTAACTACAACGTGAAGAGTAGGATCTCCAGGTTGCCTTCTCTAGAACGTTGACGAACTTCCTGTCGCCAACAGCAGGCCAGCAAGTCGCTAGTCAGTAACTAGTTCTCTTTGATCTTACTATCTTTCTCCATGGCGATGATCACCACTTCCATATCAAAACGTACTACTAGTTACTGAACAATGTTCGCTCTAACGGTTCACAACGATATATAGTACTATACAGTACTTGCTCAAGTAGAAATTATTCTTCAATGGTTGAAATCTTCTCACACAAAATCAATGAAATATCCTAGAATAGCCAAGCGGCTTTGAAAGCACTTGGCGCTCATTAACGTTCAAGTTGATAGTGAAGTGTTCATAAGACTATCCTCATAAAAAATACTCAACAAACTGCCCTGCATTTCTGATGATAATGACCTGAAACCTGTTGACTCTTGTATGAGGAAGGGTGCTACAGAACAAGGATTTGGGTTTTTCCAAACGAATACTAAGGTATTTGTATACCTTAGCTGCTAGATTGCAGCTGGTATTGAAACGCATGTTTGCAATTGAAGTTAAATTCTATTGTCGCCTTCGGAGAAGAGACCCACGGTTACCCATAGGGGTGAAATATATCGCTGACCCCGTTGATTTAAATTCCAAGACAAGTATATTGAAACTCCACTCTATTGCCATTTAGAACTGGAAATCTGGAAGTGAACTCTATATCACTGCATTTGGGATTTAGACCCATCATAGCTATTGACACCATCAGCAACCCATGGTTGCTAGTGCCACTATCGATCTGAATCCTTAATCTACTGAATCCAAATTCATCATCACTTCTGGAAACAGGTACCATTTATAGAGTACATCACTCTAAATGATCTCGAGACATCTACTCTCGTCAAATAAAACTTATTATCGCTTATTGAACCTTCCTATAAGGTTGAAATCCATTTCTGCCTCTAGGATTGTTCGAGTTCAAATTCATCTCCGTCGTTGGAGTTAAAATACATCTCTGCTTTTGAGATTGGGATCCATCACTGCTTTAGAGGTAGAATACCCAAATTTGTCGGTGGCCTTGAGTGCATCAATGCCTTAAGAGCCGAACTTCGTCTCTGCCTCCATACCAGAAAATATAGATCAGAAATTTATTGTAGCCTTCAGCACTGAAACCAATTTCTTCCTTTCAGGTTAAAATCTATCGAAGACTTCAAACCTGCAAATCTGGCCTCATATCCATCTCGTTCTTGTGATTGTATTGATCCCAATACATATCGTAATGTTGTAGCCACCGCACAATAAAATAACATATGATTCGGAAATCATCAATACTGAACTCAATATTCATTCCATAAACTATGTATGGCACTGAATTGATCTCAATACGCATCTTAATATCGTACAATAAAATAACATATGATTCGGAAATCATCAATACTGAACTCAATATTATTTCCATACACTATGTATGGCAGTGTATTGATCTCAATACGCATCGTAATATCGTACACACTGTACAATAAAATAACATATGATTCGGAAATCATCAATACAGAATTCAGTATCTATGTCATACACTCTGTATGATATTGATCTTAATGCTAATTGTAATATTGTACATAGTGTACAATAAAATAACATATGATTCAGTAATCATCAATACTGAACTCGTTATTCATTTCATACACTTTCTATGAATGATTGAGAAATCATCATACACTCTGTATGATATTGATCTCAGTATTAATATAAATATTGTACTGCACAGTAAAATACCATATAAATCAGAAATTGTCAATAGTTCACTTAGTATTTATTTAATACACTCTATATAATATTGATCTCAATATCTATTGGAATATTGTACATTGATACTGAACTCAGTATTCTTTTGATACATTTTGAATTATATTTTTCCCAATACCCATTGGAATATTATACTAACTACACAATAGAATAAATAGCATATAAATCAGAAATCATAAATGCTGGACACAGTATTCATTAAAATACACTCTGTATGATATTGATTCTATTGTTGTTTAAGTAATTTCGAATTGGGATGAAAGTAACCAGGTTCAATTCAATACCTCAAAAACCCAGGCATCGGTTTTCTCCAAAAAGATAAATGTCTCCGAACCGGAGATAATAATGTCAGCTTACTGCTTCGATAGGTTTGTTGAAGGTTAAAATGGACACCAATTTGTTTTGGCACAATCATGTCGTTGGAATTGCAAAGGATGCTTTTCAAAAGCGTGGAACACTGTTTCGAACCAGAAAACTGTACACAACTCAGCAATTTTTTATGCTTTATAAAGCTCAGATCATTCTTCGGAGTATTGTTCTCATGTATGGAGCTCCCCCCCAAACATATCCTGAGGTCTGGAACATTGAAGAAAAGTTGGAGATTTGTCTCTCTTCAGCAGATATTTTCAAGGGAGATGAAACTGTTTAAGAATTCTTTCATTTGGAGAACGGCGTTTATGTGGAATAAACTTCCCGAGAACGTTTTTACACATGGATTTACACATTATTTAAGAAACGATGAAACTAAAAGAACACATCCTACAATGTTTTGAAATATGAAAATCGTCTTTGACCATTTGCGTACTAGATGCGTAGGTACAATTGAAGTAAGAAAGTTGGCCAGCATTTACTCGTCATTTGTTAATCGATAATTGTTAATTTGTCTGCATAAACGTGTCCATTGGAAACTGAGGATTTCACCTAATTGTTACTAGCTCATCGAGTGTGCATAAATTCACCATAATTCTCATTCTGAAAAATCACTGTTAAATATATTAATACTTTACAAAAGGGAATTTATTAATTGAATATGTACAATAGAATTATAATATAAACTATATGACTATAATAACAATATGTACACAATATAATTATACAAATATGGTTGAAAAAATATAAATTATCGGATATGAGATAAGAAAAATGGACGATTGCTGGCCAGCAGCACAGGGGAGGGTTTCACTTTTGGAAAACGTTTCTACTAGTATCAGCAATTGGATTCAGTCCTCGTCGCCCTTGGAGCTCCCAATTGTTGGACAACTCTTTTCTCGATTTCCTAAAAAGACCACAAACAAATTATGAAAAATAAACATAGTGTTTTCACACTGTCACCAGTATTTAAACTCAGATCCCCAGTAATGCAAAAAAGCCTCAGTTAAAGCAAACTTCAATGCAATTCATATTGGCAGTAGGTATAGCAAAAAAGTTGAAGAATCGTCAAATTCCTATAGCAAATTTGAATTTGATGAAACATACAAAAATCAAGAAAATTTGGAATACAGCATAGAAATAGTGAAGCTAGCTGANTACCAGTTAGAATATATTTTCCACTGAGAAATCGAATGTAAAATAAAATATGGACCACTGAACCACTTATTTACTATATTCATATAATCTTATATTTTCAAAAAGTATTTTTGTGACAGAATCCGAATATGGAAAGCAATACATGCCATTATATTCAAAAAACTTAAGTTTGCGCCCCTTTCTGAAAAGTTTAATGGATTGAGATCTAAAATTTTTATCCCAAATATATTTTCATAACCTCACTCCTTCATCTTAAACTTCTAATGGAAGCTCAATGTGACATACTCTGTATATGGAGTAAATTTGGACTCCCTTCGATTTAACTTTATTGATATCATGATTTGGACCCCCTGTATAAGCAAAACATGCATAATCAATAAAGGATGGAAGAGCGACTTGATTTATAGAAACTGTATTATTTGAACCTATACTGAGTTGTGTGCATGAACAAGCAGGAGGTTAGATGGAAAAAGGTGTAAGCACTATATGTAAAAACACTTGGATGTACACAAGTTCAAATAAATTCAAAGAAAACTGTTTTCTAACATTCCAGGTACCATAGTTCTTTAGTTAGTGCGTGTTAGTAAAGGATTTAGCACCTGGTTCGAAATTTCCCTGCACCACTTTCCCACTATCAAAACCTTACCCTTTGTAGATCTTTGTTGCGCTGGTGCCTAGCTAGTAATTCGAGATCCGACAAATAAGCTAAACTTTCAGATTTGATTATAGCCCCTTCTAATTCGGGAGCAAGTTTTGGCGGGACGTTCTGCTTTTTCTTGCGAAGCAGCGAATTCAATTTCCAACCGGTTGGTGGCACTACTCGAATCGGCGATAGCTTTTCCTTCAGATCAATGTCTGTAATTGTTTTTGTGGTATTTTTGGGGACATCGTAATCTGTTACAAATTTGGAATTGTGGATAATAGGGTTGACTGTGACTTGTGTGGCATCAATCGAATGACTGATCTCGTTGTCACCTGTTATTTTGACTAGTGTAACTGATTTGCCTTTGGTGTTATTTGGGGAGGAGAATAATGAAATGACAGTGGTTGATTTGGTATTATGAATGGAGTATGATGTGGGTTTTATTTCGGGGTTGCTTCCGTTGATGCTCGATGTTGTCGACCAGTTGGGGGTGGGTCCGTGAGTTGGGGAGCTATAGCCTGAGGTGCTTTGGGAGTCAGGATAATGGACAACAACACTAGCACCCTTACCGTTCACTGACGGCTTCAAGGTGTATAATTCGGGTTGGCACTCTGTTAAAGGAGAAGTGATTTCAGCTATGGATCCTACAGCACTAAGAGTTTTTTCGCTACTCTCGCTAGCGTCGCTATTTCGCCAGACTGCCAAGGGTCTAGCCTGGCCTTCCGCAGACTTCGCCTCGGATGGCGTTTCAATTGTGTTAGGGCTTTCTAGATCTTGAATCAGCTGCAGAGCCGCCTCTAGTTCTTTGGAAAAGTCAGCATCGCTGCTTTTGCCTTCAGATCGGCTGCTACTCTTTGAGGTTTGGGTCTTTTCAGAAGTGGGAGCACTGTCACTAGCGGTGCTTTGGGGTGAAGTGACACTAGGGGGCTCTTTCTTGCTCACTATAGCTTTTTGCAGTTCTTTCATGAGCGAGGCGTACTGAACCTTCTCCACTTGAGGGCTAGTTGGCTCGACACGGCGCATAATAACAGACTGAGGAGCTTGGTAGTGGAGTTCTTCTTCTTCTTTATTACTTAGAGCAGTATTCAGTCTGGAGCGATATAATGTGGGTTCGGTTAATTTCTCTAGATATTCATAAATTGGCGGATTATTGGATTGATTCAGGTTGAGACTCATTTGAGACGAGCTAGCAGATACTACAGGAGATTGTGAGCGTGAAAAACTTTTCATGTAGCATAGCTTTCTATCGCTGTTACTTGTGCTGTCGTCAGAAGCTTCTTCTATTTGAACAACGGGGTTATCTATTGAGTGGCCGCCGTTTTCCGTCACCTGTAAATGGATATAATTATTAAGCTACTGTTGTGCTACATGAGGTGTAGTTTTTGAAATTACTATGGATCTTCATCAAGTATCGGCCGAATCAATCAGAAAAAAAAGCATACGACAAAAAAAAATCTTTACATAAAACTCCATAATATTGGCATACAAGGAAATGCATTTAACTGGCTGAAAACGTTTGTCTCAACACGAAAGCAATATGTCAGTATCATCAATGAAAATAATAATGTGAGAAAGGTATATACATCCAATTATGTGGATATTAATGTTGGAGTCCTACAGGGATCAGTGTTGGGCCCTATACTTTTTTTATTATATGTAAATATAATGGAATCCATCTCTACATATGCTCATTTTACACTATATGCAGATGACACATCAATGGTTACATCAGATAAAATAGATCAAAATCTACAAACCAAAGGTAACTCAATCCTGCAAAAATTAAACACCTGATTCAAGGAAAATTCCCTACATTTGAATAGTCAAAAAACACGTTTGATAAGATTTCATGCTAGACAAAAAGAAATAGCCAGAGCCAATTTGAGAATTGAAGATGATGAAATTTCTCCGTGCTCTATGGTGAAGTTTTTAGTTGTACACTTAGATTAACATCTCGGCTGGAAAACTAATTGTGGAACAGTTATATCAAAATTGAACTCCATGAATTATCTTCTGAGAAACCTTCGTAATATTTTAGACTAGAAACAGCTGATTATGCTGCTGTATCATTCTCAAGTTGAATCGCGTCTTCGGTATGGTATTACTTTCTGGGGAGTTTCCTCTTCATGCAAAGATGTTTTTGTCGCCCAGAAAAAGATTATAAGATGTATAGCAGGAGTTTCAAGAAATACGAGCTGTAAAAGCATTTTTAAAAATTTTGACATACCAACATTGCCATGCCTGTATATATTCGAATTATGTGTTATTATATAAGATAACCGTAAATGTTTCATAAGAAATAAAAATGTGCATTCAATTGATACCAGGTGCAAGACAGACTTTCATATGCCATTTTCGGCATATGCTTTTCATGAGCTCTTTTCTGACTAATTCCACACAATGTACCTTTTTGATTGTCTTACAGGATAATAAACAATATTATTATTAACCCCCGTAGTGTGGGCTGGTCAGGCCCTATCCTCCGAAGCCCCGATACATTCGGGAGGGCGCGCCAGCATTATCAACCAATGACCACTCCCCACATCGTGGGGTAAGTGATCATGATCATGACAGCCTTCTGCATCTGTGCGGCTAAGATTTCTGCCTTAGTGCACGCGACTGCGGTAGACTAAGGTGTTGAAGACACCATCCGGGCAGGACATGATGAACCCCTCAGTCTCCGACTTCAGCCCACTCCACCTGAGGAAAGCAAAAGTCAGGCTCTTTGATAAGCCAAGGTCTTCAATGTTGTTGAAGAAGACCCCATGCATTGGCTTAGCTTTGTGTTGCCGTAAAAGTGAAGTGATCTCTGCGGCTTTTATATTAGGCGTTTGCTGAACAGGTTCCAACTTGATCACAGAGTGATGATCACCTCGTTCAGTTTCGAAAACTAAAATGAGTACACCAGCTGCCCTAAAAAGAAATGCAACAATTCCTGCAATTCCTGGTGTTCAAGACACCATTCTGGCAAGCCATGATGAACCCCATGAAGACTCCATCCTAGCAAGCCATAATGATTATTATTAGTATTTTTTTTCACCGTAGTGTGCGCTGGTCAGGCCCTATCCCCCGAAGCCCCAATACATTCGGGAGGGCGCGCCAGCATTATCAACCAATGACCACTCTCCAAACCGCGGGGTAAGTGATCATTGGGTCCGAGAATCATGTGCCCTGAGTTAGCGCAATGAGCCAAGGACTCCAATAATCAGAACAACCATCTTGACAGAGTGGTCTGGATAGAGTCTTTTGGGGCGCATCAAAATGTCTTATAAAATTACTTTGTTGACATATACCACATTCATAATTGTTTTACTTACAGCCTTCGAAACAATTCATTTATTTTTTGTGAACAAATTAAGTGAAATAGTGACCAATATTTTAGATGTACCAAGTGAGATAACAGTTACTATTTCAAAAATAAACAGTCCATGAATTGTTTCTGAAGCACCCGACAAATTTCACAGAATCTCTCTTACTCACCAATAGACTTTGCAATTTTTTGTGCGAACTCTTCCCTGACTTCTTCGGCGTTCCGTTCTGCAAAACCTTGAAGTAAGGGCCATCTTCGGAAGTTGCGTGAGAAGAACCCGGGTTCTCCGCGTCGAACACCCAACTTTGTGCGTAAGCGTTGTACACCGTGTGCGTGTGAGGTTTCGAATTCTTCGGCTAGAAAAGGAAAAGATGATTGATTAAACATCGAAACAATGCCTCATGTGCCACTTTGTGCTTCATTGCTTAATCGAAGTTGTGTAATGAGAGTCGTTTGTTTTATTGGCATCTCTGAGAAAACGCTCGTGAGAGAAATGTTGGTAAATGCTCGAGAGGCGTGTTCTTCGGGTTTGCACAGGTGCATTGCCGAAGTGTGTTATTTCATGCATTTTTATTTAATGTACGAGGGTAGTTCGAAAACTCCGGTCTGAGCATAAAGATGACTATTCTGTGCACACAAAAACCTAGGGATATTGAGAAGATTGACCAAACGCCAATCTAGTCACCGGCAAATATTTGGCGTTTACCGAAAGTAACCAGTAGATTATAGTATAGTATTATAGTATTTCAGGTATCCGCTGCCAAAAACTTCTGGTGAGAACCGTTCCTTGATCTGCGAAGTAATAAATTACTTTCGAGTCGCTCTTTCATAGGCGTATACAGGGTGTTTCAAATTCCGAGTATATCTCCAGATATACTCGGAATTTCAGAACTTTCTCAACGGCATATTGTTAGTCAGGTAAATTGTACCTTGATCACTAACAAAATCGATTATTTGTGGAAAAAAATATCTCTTGAAATTTTAGTCGAACAAAACTGTTTGAAGAAATGCAATTATTTTGAAAATCGTTACTAACAGATTACAGAGGTAGCAGTGCAGTGTGAGCAGTGCAAAAGCCCATGACATCGTTCTTGCCGAGAACTCGCGCTGTGACCTCTTGTAGAAAAAAATTGACATTCAAAATGTTTTTTCATTCCGAGGTAATATTCGAAACAATTTATCGTCATTCACCTATTGCACTCATAATATGCACTGTAATATGAAAAGTACACAAATTGTAAGGAAACACCAAACTCATTACTATTATCTAACACTCATTTCTTACCTTCAGGAAGAATATTATTTTTCTCTGGTAATTTTATAGACTCAGTTCCAGAATTAAGGCACATTTGGAGTATTCTGCTGGACCGTGCACTGGAATTCATTGCTCTCAAATTTTCCATATTGAACAACACAACACAACACATATCATTTGTCACGGAACGAACAACTACCCAATTCTCATGAATTTTGGACATTCCCATAGAATACACGGAATATACAATGTTGTCAGATTTGCGGAGTTTCAATCGTCTGCGACATGTCGCAAAAATATACAACANAAAATGACCCAAAAGCTCTTAAAATCTTTTTTTTCTGACCCGTTTGCTATACAAAAATTAGGTTGGGCGTTTTGCATTTATATTGAGCACTTATTACATTTTACTGTTAGAGATTAGATAAGTAATTAGTTACTTTTGGACCACACCTTAAATTAAATAGCAAGATCACTGATCTCTGAGTCTTCAAAAAGTAGTTCACTCGAATACTCTTTCTGGAATAGAAAATAGAAAAACAACAACCAGTGTACTTTTTGTCGCTTCTCTATGGTTTAATATTTTCAGTTGAAGTGTTTCACGATTCTATGGTTCTATTATAGTCTCAATATCAAACGGCTTATTCAGAGTGGTTCGTTTTGACTGAAATGCACTATATTGTTGACGACAATGTAACCCAAAACCTCCAAGCCCTTCAAGTAAATAAATAACAAGGAAATAATGACCCTTCCGTTAATGTGAAATTGTTAAATAGAAGGATACATACAAATATTCTTTCTGAAGACACTGAACATATTTCAAAAACTAAAAAGTATTTTAAAATGTAATGATTATTCCATATTGGAAAGATGATACACATAAAAAATTATACTCTGCAGGATCTGTCCTAACAAAGGGTTGCAAATTTTTACCTAGTTTTGGTATAGTCAAGATTAAATATAATCAGGGAACCTTTCAATCTCCCCTCATAATTGATAGATTCAATAACCGGAAAGGTAATCGGTGAACCTTCATGAATCAATACTTTAAAATGAAAGATGTCTGTAAAGGTCATGTGAAATAGAGACGAGAACGATTCAAGTGTTTTACGAATGTTGCTTCTGCGAATCTACCTTTCTAGATTCACACCAAAATGTGCTAATTCGATGTGAATTGGTTTCACTTCAAGGCCGAACAGAGTCGTCTACTTGAGTCGCATATGATTTACATTTCGAAGTTAAAAATCTAAATACAAATAGCAGCAGGCTGCAAAAAATATTTTGAGTTTCGATAAGGAAATTTTGCACTATGCAAGGAAGGGTTGCAAACTTAATTATTTGAAATCCTTGGAAATTCAGGTTGCACCCGCAATGTAAATGCTTATGAATTTCCACTTTTTTTACTTCAAGCTCAAATTTTCTCAAAACTGATTACTGAAAACCGATAAAACTTCTAGAACATATTACAGTACATAAATGAGGGGAACTGAGAAGTGGTAACGATTATTTTCAATTAGGGTTCTAATGGGGTATTGTTTTTCACACTTTATGTCATCAAGATAATATGGAACAAATTTATTTTCGTCATAACTCGCATAGTTTTGAAGCTAGGAACTTTCATAATTAGAAGCAAAGGGTTTTTAAAGCATTTCAGAAATAATTTTATGGATTTTCCTCGAAAAATACATTGTTTTTGTTTAATTCGCGTTGAAACTTTCAATTTTGGACGATTAAGAATCAAGCTTCAAAAACCTCTTCATTACTCCGTTTATATTCTGTCTCCAGACACCATAAGCCCACAATTCTTTTTATTTTCACATAAGCTACATTTAAAGCATTTCAGAAATAATTTTATGGATTTTCCTCGAAAAATGCATTGTTTTTGTTTAATTCGCGTTGAAACTTTCAATTTTGGACGATTAAGAATCAAGCTTCAAAAAGCTCTTCATTACTCCGTTTATATTCTGTCTCCAGACACCATAAGCCCACAATTCTTTTTATTTTCACATAAGCTACATTTTCACTTTGATTTTTTTTTTCGATAAATTATTTACTTTTATAGTTATTCGCGAAAAACCGTCTTATAACATTTTTACTCGCGAATAAGTCGAAAAGCGAAAAAAACTTGATAGAACAAAACTTGCTCAGTCTATCCACTTCCGGTTTAAATGAAACATTTTTACCCACAGGGTGAAAACAAATTCCGGTACAGGGTCAACTTTGAAATAGAGGGTAAGTACAACTGTTATATATAAATTTTTGTACACATCGGTGCTGTATGACAAAATAATGTAGTATTTTATCTTCAATGATCGGTCTAATAATGTCGGCTATATGAATTTCATGACAAATATATTTATTCCAATTCTATTTATTTATTCATTTAGTTAATTTATTTTTATTCATTTCAACAGTCATTAAGGCAAATGAAAATATTACAGGTCCTTTAAATACACTAAAATATAAGGTGGGCTGAATAGTTCGTAGGCTAACACACAGCTGGTGCTATTAGTTAGTTAGGCCTAACCTTCAGAAGATACGTGTACAAATTTCACAGCTTTCGGACTATTAGCTTGTGGGATAAAATATTTTGAGTGAAGCAACTTTTGTTGGTTTGAAGAAAATGGATAAAAAGGAATTTCGTGTGTTAATAAAGCATAGCTTTTTGGCGAAAAAAAAACCAAGGCTTAACTTGAGAAACATTATTCGGATTTTGCATCAGGAAAATCAACCGTTGAGAAGTTGTTTACTAAGTTTAAACGAGGTGAAATGAGCACCGAGGACGATGCAAGCAGTAGACGCTCCAAACAGGCTGTTAGTGACGAAAACATAAAAAAATAATTTTAAATGACCGCAAAGTGAAGTTGTTTGAGATAGCTGAGGCTCTGAAGATATCGAAGGAACGTGTTGGACATATCGTGCATGAATATTTGGGTATGCGAAAGCTCTATCCAAAATGGGTGCCGCGCGAGTTCACAATTGACAATGTTTAAAGTGTTGTGTTGCTATCGAATGCAACTATATTGAATAATCTTCAAATACCACAGTTGAAATCACTTGAATTAGACAATAACTAATCCTAGCCAGTTGGCAATAAAACGTTTTTGTAATTTTAGCTCTCGACACACATGAACGTATCTAGTATAAAATATTTAGCACTCATATTTTTGCGCAGTAACTTACAGAGCAAAGATAACTCCATTGAGTTTACTACCTGATTCAAGATCTATATAAATGTTGTAGCCATATTCTCATATGGAATACCTCTATCGTGACAGAAAGCGACCTTGAAATGTTGAAATCAATTCAGTGTAGCAATTTATGTTTTCTAAAAAGAGGGTTGCATTATATTTTATAAGATATTCATACTCGTCTTCTACCTAGTACCTTACTTTATTTGTGCTACATATTTGTTTGCATGAATTAACAACACTTCATACTGAGTTCTGTATATATCTTAAAACTAACTCACTTTGGTGTTGTATATACTGCGAATCATTTTTATCTCTACCCTGTTTGCAATTTCGCATACCTAACTCAATACATCTACAAACGATAACGTAACAAATATTTCTTAAACACCACAGACAGCCTAGGCTTTGTGGATATTTTGTTGTGTAAGTATCGTATTAATTGACGACTCTCTTTGTATTAATTTTCTTGTGTTATTATAAACAAATAAACATCATTATTAATTCTTGAACAGAGACCATACAATCTAGCCATATTCTAATTTAGACCTTACATAAGCTATGTGGACGGTGACTAGCACAGATATATTTGAAAAATGATCTACAATTGCTAACTATAAATCTATAAACTCTTAAAGCTTCACTAACTTTCAATCTTGCTTTCGATTTAATATGATAAAAAAAGACAAATTGTGATCAAAAGATCTCTCAATGAGTTACTACTACTAGTATTCTATTATTATCATTTGAATGGAACAATATAGTTATTGACATCGATCTTACTCACCCTAGGAATGATGTATTCAATATCAGACACTTGCTCGTGCGACCCACGCAGTTTTTTATTCCTTTTCTTGGGCACTGCTTGCATTGAGCAGAATGTAAACTGACTGTCGACGAAGGAAACCAGCAATACCACGGCAGTCGCGATTCTCGTCACAAAACACGCTGAAAAACAAATTATTCAATCATAATCGACGCTGAAATTGAGCATATCTTCGAACACGAAATAAACAGAATGTCTTGTTCGTTTTCCAGTGAATCACGTTTTACCTGTATATGCCTGAGGGGCTATGCTTTTGCCTTTGTGTGACCTTTACAAATATTCCGAACCGATTGGCCAGCCGGTTTTGAAAAGGTTTGGCCGATATAAGAGGTGGTGTGGTGAAGTAATCGAACCGAGAGAAATGATGTGGACCCATGCTTGCGGAATTTACCACGAGTCCCATGCGTAAGCGAAAACCCATCGAGTTAAATGGTTGTTGTACAGGGTGTAGTTGTAAGTGTGACCGCAAATCTTCATCCTGAAGAAAAAACTATTGCCACACACTTCAGCGTGATGTGAACATTGTGAACAACCTCCTCAACATGGACTACAAAGTATATACAAATATCTAGTAAAAGCTTACGTACCCTGCACCAGTTACAGCTACACGCCTGAGTCATGGCCGGTGGGAGAAATCGTATCTGCGTAAAGTTCAGGTCGATGTATGACAAAGAAAGTATTAGGAAAAAAGGAATAGAACATCTTGTTTGCAATTTTACGTATTTGGAGGTTTATGGTTCGAAAAATCTAACAGACTGATAACAGATTTCTACACATCTACTGCACATCTTGAGGGAGCAGCTTCTCACCGGCCATGAGTCAGTCCAGCAGCTGTACATAAGGAATTATACAGCAAGCAATAACACTTTTCAATTTTATTTCCTTAGATACAGGAGAATTTTCAGGACAGCCAAATATTCAACACTTTAAAGGACGCATAGCAAATGCAACAAACATATGCAAAGAAAGTTGGTTGATTATTCTAAAAAGGTGATTATTTCAGGAAGTATCCTGAAAGTGGCCGTTCATTAATCACGTGAGGTTGGAAGGGGGGAGGGGGTTTAGCAAAAATCACGAAATATAACGAGGAGGGAGGAGGTGTAGTAAGATATCACGTGTATTTATTTTTTCGTGAAACGCGCAATTTCTAAACCGAAAAGTGACGTGTAATGTGACTTTGACTCGCCGTTGTCAGGCAACGAACGAAGTCCCCGCGCACCACGACGACCGTCCGGCTCGGCTTGCCACTTATATTCTGTTATTTCGGCGCCGAATACATGCATACACCGCTAGATCGTACGTTTTTCATTAAAACAATGTCTAAACTAGGTGATCTGACCTATTTGCAGAGTATAAGAAAGGAAAAATTTTAAGATTCTTTGTATGTACTGAAAAATATACGTGATTTTGGGTGTGAGAGGGTAGGTTACTTTTAAACTTTACCATGTATCACCAAGGAGGAGGGAGGTTAATAAATGCTAAAAAAACATGACTTGATTAATGGACGGCCCCAAACAGGGAGATCGTGAAAAATATAACCGTAAGACATCCCTTTCTCCTATCACCTATCAGTTCAAAGCAAGTAATAGACACTTTGACATAAATAACAGAAACACATCGGGTTAGAAAGATACCTCTGCAAAAGTTCTCCTACATCTTCCAGAAAATGCTTTGGCAATTTCAGCAGAGGTTATCAGGAGGTGATTATGAATTGTTTCCAAACTCTTGACCGATTTTCTTCTTGCCAACTGTGACGAAACTGGTGGAAACACTTGTAAAGAAAAGAATGACATCTTTTGTTAGTGACAACTACTGTTTCAGCATATGTCAGATCATGAAATTCTGTTACATAAATGGAAAATATATGGTTTTAGAGATGTTGCTTGGAAATTGTTTCTCAATCATATTTGTTACATTGCACTCAGATGGTTTCGGGCAACAACGAGATTTTCAAATTCCGTTTGGTGACTTAAGGGTTCCTCAGGGTTCAGTCTTCGGTTCCTGATATACTTAAATGATTTATCTATCATTACAGAGGTATGACACTCAAAATACGGTAAGTGAATCAGAAAAACTGATGACATACTTCTATATCATTCAAAAATCAGTTTCGAATCAACAACTGAGTTTTTTGGACTTCTCCGATCGCGCCGGATAATTGTTGTGCTGATAACAACCGCCCTCACAGATGGCATGTGGATGTCGTGGTCGGATGAGAGTTAAAAAATACGCCAGTAAGCTGACTGGATTTCAACGAGGTAGTCAGCTCGATAATAGATGTATTAGTTTTATCTGAAGGCCTCCCGAGAAGGAGGCGGCCAGTAAAAATTCAAAGTGCTGTTTTTTAGAAAAAGTGAGAACACAAATGTGTACCCAAGTATGGATGGGTTTGTCCCAGGCTTACTCAAATATGACCACACTTGGTTTTCATGAATGACATTCGTTATCAACTGGCTGGATAGCCTTAGTTGCTGATGCCAATGAACGAAGAGGAAGAATAAGAATAAAGTTTTCAGGTTAATACGGTGACAATAATTGTCTCTTGCTTGAGTGTAATGAAAATATGGAAGAGAACTTAATGAATCCTTAAGATTACAACGTATTCCGAAAAAAGAATGGGTATGTTAACCGGCTCACAAAAAATTATGGATGATTTTTTTCGAATTCCTTCAGTTCAATAATTATTCAAAATGAATAAAATTAATTCCCCAGAAATTCAACTGGTAGATTCATGATTCATATATTTTGTCTAAATTTGTTGAAGAAAATATCATGAGCCTTAATGAAGGTAAAACGATATCGGTCGGGAACAGCCACATATTGTAAGTATTAAATAATAAATTCGGATAGAAAAAACTGAAAAAACTCAACAAAACCGTATAACAGCAGAATATAAACAGCTCGGTACAATAAGACCTCACATTTTTATGGATGACCACAAATCAAAACTCATTGATCCATCGTGATATACTATACTTATTATTTGAATTTATTCCATTAATTGACAGTTTCCTAATTTACTTTTTTTTAATGAACGTCAGTATTCAGTTACCTAAATGTTGGTCAATGATATAATTTTTTACGCGCTCTTCAATGGACTTGACGAAAAAGTAAAAAAGTCAAGAAGAAATTTTTGATGTATTGGCAGTGTTTATGATTTCTGTAGAAATTTCGGAGGTACTAAGTACTTGAGGAGACGGGAGTAATACATTGAAAATAAATTTAGGCGACTATTGGAAACGCTTGATAAGAAAGCGTCGAGATCACTCTTAAACGATACTGAACATGTGTGTCACACCTTTTTCCAAGTGCAATGACATTGACGGTAATAACCGATAATATTGTGTACAACAAAGACATAACAATCCTTTTTATTGACAAATGAGTAATTCAGTTTTTGTACCGATATTCAGTTCACGGCTGGTTTCAATTTTATCAGCTTGATTTTTTCGAGTGTGATTGATATACGTTTGGTTCAAAATCCAGTGAAATTTTGCAGGTTTTAGGTTCATCAAACGTCTCCTTTATCAAAATGTGCTAGCTCGTCTCATAAGATTCACACCTCATGATCGATTTACTAGGGTGTTAATTCAATTTTTAATGACACATCCTGTGAAAGCCACCTAATATTTTCAAAAAAATTGAAACTACGTGAAAGTTGAGATGGATATTTGGGCAGAACGTCACTGCCATTTCTACACTGTACGTGAAACCATTGTGAGAATCAAATTTCAAGATGAGGAGCTGATTGTTCTGTATAGACCATGTTTAGAACCATATCACATAAATCGTGTAGAATATACAATTGAATAACTTTCACTGGTAAAACTCAACTACCCTAAAACTACTGCTTCGTTCTTTAGGAATGAACAAGAAATGTATTTTTCACACAGAACAATCTAACGAGCCCAAATGTGTCAGTTGTTTTCACTAATTGAATGCTCCAAGATTATGCAGTTTCTCTTAAAGCAGTGCTTAAACTTGATACGCTGCATTTCAATAGACTAATTGATACGTGAAAATCTTCCATGTTTCTGCAGAATACAGTTGACAATGTTGTTGAACATTAAATATTCTGCTCTATTGATTTCGATTATGTCTTTCTAAGCGATATACAGGGTGTAACTAAATAAGTGTAAAACATTTAAGGAGGTGATTCCTCATCGAAAAAAAAAAGGATCTTTCATATAAAAAAATTCAATTGGAGCATCTCTTGTTGAGATACAGCCCCCTGAAGGGGGTACAAAAAATGTGTATAACAATTTTTTTCACAAGCACTAAAAAAGTTACAATATTGAAATAACCTGACGTTTTGTACTACCAAAAAGACACTTAGCCAGAAATTTATTTGGTTCACCCCATGGGTGTAAGGGGTGGAAAACGCAACCCCTAAAATTTATTTCCAATGTAACTTTTTGTCTTACTATTTGTTTACCATTTAAAAATTTATTTCCATCAGCCCGTTTCATTCTAAACAAAAAATGTCTCTTGGGTTTTTTGACCAAAATAAATCAGTTCGCAGCAAAAAATTATTTTAGGAACAACTACAGAGATACATTTNTCAGGTTAATTTCAATATTGTAACTTTTTCAGTGCTTGTGAAAAAAATTGTTATACAAATTTTATGTACTCCCTTTAAAGGGCTGTATCTTAACAAAGGATGCTCCAATGAAATTTCTTTATATGAAAGATCCTTTTTTTTTCGATGAGGAATCGCCTACTTAGATGTTTTACACTTATTCAGTTACACCCTGTATAGATGAAAATATTGAAAACTAGGCTGCCAAAACAAGTTTCACAGCGAGTATTTCCTTTGAACAGATAAAATGATGAAAAAATTTAAGAGATTGAACGTTTCTTCCCAATATCGATATAACTGACGATAACGAAATCAACATCCTGGTGTCAATATTTCTAAGGCCTTTGACCGTGTGCGGCATGAGGGTTTGCTGGCCAAACTCCAATGTTATAGCTTGTCGGATAAACGCTGATGTTCCCCAGGGATCCATACTGTCTTCGACCCTCTTTTTAATGTATATCAATAACTTACTGAAAAAAAAAAACAAGAATCCTTTTTATTGATTTGCTCTTGACAGCACACTTATTTCGTCATTTCATTTGG